TATTTGTAAATATTATGCTTTAGTTTTTAATGTTTTTAAATATATGTTTTAAACTTAGTTTTTAATTTTAGTCTAATGAACATCTGATCATACCAATCCATGGCTATCCTTCATTAAATCTGTCTGAATTTCCAAAAAATAAATTTTGGAAGTGTTCCTGTTGGAGAAAGGTATTAAAGGCAGTTATAATGCAAGACATAATATTGAAGTCAAGGACTTACAATTTTTTGAATCGTGATGAACTTCTGTAATTTGCCTTTTATCATAAAAGAAACTATAAAGACTCTGGCTCTGTTGTGACATAGGTGTAGATTATAGCCCAATGATGGTGGTGTTGAGCTCTTCTTGGCAAATATTTCCATATATAGTGATTCAGAAACTTTTTTTCAGTTTTAGCAAAAGAATCTCTTTAAAGTCTGATGTTCCTGTTGACTTTGAAATGAAATTGAATCTACTTCAGTCAACTGATGCCATACAAGTGAAGCCATTACAAGGTCAAGGATACCTCTCAAAGGAAGAAGTTTGTTCTTTGAATTGTAAAATTTGTGCCGAAGGAACGCAGTTTCTTTATTGTTAAATCTCGTTTTCTTGCCCCATCTTATACAGTAGTATTCATGTTTTTGCTTCAGTTCATAAAGAGAAAGTGTTAGAACTAACAGCAGCGGAAAATTTCTTAATTTATGATTAAAAAAATATTTCGTTGTCCATTGAAAACTTGCGTTAAGAAAAAGTGAAAAACTTACTTAGGAAAAACAATGCTGTCTCAATATTGAGAAATCTGACAGAATGTATAGACTTTATTTGTAATTTTAGGTATTGTGCCTGGAAATGGTTCACTGGATATTGAAGTCTTTTTTAACCCAACTGAGTTTTGTACTGTACATGCCAAATTACAGGTAAACTGAATAGCTAGTTTGTTCTGTTTTCATTCTTTGTACAATTTTTTTCGCACCTTGGCACCCGTAACGTGGAAAAAGGGAACGCTTCCTTGTGTCCCCTTTCCAAGTATAATATTCTGTTGACTGTAGTCTTTCAGTTGTACCACTCAGAATAATGTCAGCTGTATTACATACAGTGATACAACACAATGTTAAGCATGTTGCAAAAGTTGATAAAAATGTTTTAATTGGCCGATTTTTTTCTTTATTTTTAATAAGTTTTAATGTTTCAGCTATTGGTGTCACAATTCATTGTATCGCCGCTAATTTGCCATATCACAGGATCGTCTTCACCTGGCATGAAGTTAACGTATGTTTAAATTGAATATTATCACATTAACATTAACGTTAAGGAACAAATAACAATAACTGGCGTTCACAGCAGACAAGTTGCAAAGCATAACTGTCTTTACAACACTCTCATGTATCAAAGCCACAATTACACTCCTTGTATTATGTTTCCCTTACTAAATGTGTTGTATGTAGTTGTAGCAACGTAATTTTATTGCCTTGTAAGTTTTTGGGGGAAGATAATCACTTTTTTAAAAAGTTGAACCAGCTCCATTTTTTGAAAGAAGCTGTCCATTGCTGTTTTGCAATAGAATTGTTCAAAGAAAAAGTTTACGAGAAATTTCTTTTTTACAACATGAGCTCAGAGACCATGCATATCTTCACATCATGAACTCAAATTTATGTTTGTGTGTGTACCCACAAATTGAGAAAGTGTGCTTACGTAAGTCTTGCTTCTGGACTTGATTTGAACTCTAGCCCCCATAATGTCTGGGCGTTTTCCATTCACAATTATTTGAGCACAACATGTTCAATGGAAAGAACTTCCCTGATGCTTTGTAAAGGCATTCAATTGCTGCATGTAATGCTGAAGACAGTAAATCCATTGATGGTGGAAAGGAAGTTATACATCGAATGAATACTTGCGTGGATAACATGATCGTTTACATGAAAAACGATTGAAAAAGGGATAGATCTGGACAGTTCCATTCACATCGACATGTCTCATAAATTGCTGCTTTATCATTGAATCTGTAAAGTATTTCAAGCTTTATTCCTGGAAATGATAATAAGCATCCTAATAAAGGTGTCATGTGAACTGTAAAGAAGAAGCTAAAGAAGCTGTTTGGTGGTTTGGAAATGGAAAGGAAACACTTTGTCCGTTCGGATGTGTTTATGTAGTTCTTCTCCCTCTCAAAAGAAGAGTCTTCATTAATTGTCAATGTGTATTGCTACTCCAAGTACTCTGAGCTCATATGTTTGTCCAAAACCTCGCATCTAGTGATAAAATAAACTGAAAAAATGCTTAAAAGATGGGGGAGTCTCCGAAAGAAGTCGTAAGTGGCAACGGTCAAAAACTTTAGTCAGATATGTTTTCAGATGTCTTTTAAAGTTGTTGCAATAAATACAGCACACATAGTATGTAAATCTACTGAATTGACGCACTCTGTGTAACATCATGTTAATTATTTGTGAATGTACGCACTCTGTGTAACATCATGTTAATTATTTGTGAATTGACGCACGCTGTGTAACATCATGTTAATTATTTGTGAATGTACGCACTCTGTGTAACATCATGTTAATTATTTGTACATTAGTAATGTAATTATAATTGTAAAGTCTTTGCTTGACTACAAAATGGCTATAAAATTGCTGTTTAAATTAAGAAAAGTTATATAGCTGTTGCAGTGGAAAAAAAGATAGAAAACCTTGGTCATACAACAGTAAATCAAGATGCAGGATTGCATGTGAAGAAGAGCAGAATATACGCAATGATATTTTCAACAGAAAAAAGTTGCGATGAAAACGAAAAGATGGAAAGAGTTGTTGCCTGATTAATAAAAGAAGAGTTCAATCTGATATACTTATTCTGCGATATGGAACAATTTCGTGTTTCAATTTGAACAAAACAAAGAAATGAAAGAACTAAGAACTAGAGAATTTCATTGTTGTGAAAAAGATATTTGTCTCGCTCAAACTAAAAAGGAAATATCACATTCGCAGATGTGCGTATGTAGAGAAAGTTGGTTGGTCGTAAAGACAACCTTTAAAAGATGAAAAAAACTGCTTTCACTCATTAGTTTTGTTCTGGACTAAATAAAATTTAGGACCTTTAAATATTTCACGTGTAGATCACATACATTGAATCTTTATTGAAACAAATTTGTTCACTGCCCCAACAATTGTATATATGAAAGATTTAGCCTTCTTTAAACGAGATTTTATACTATACCTTTGATTTTATTTAGACTACTTGAGGAAAAACAACAAGAAATGGATTCACAAGAAGTATCAACAAAAACATTAGATCCTCTGTCCCTAGATCCATTGTTTAGATCTCGATTGAAGAAACAAGAAGTAACCCAAAAAAATTATGTTGATAAAAAAGAGGTAACAGAATTTTAATAAATATATTTTAATTTTCGTATTAGTTGTATTTAAAATTACAAAAATTGTTTACCAATTGTTGGACGTTTATACCTTTTGGAAACTTCCAACTCTTTATACTTTTTTTTAATTGTGGTAATGTACGTCGACAAAATACCGTAGACTTCAATGAACCCAGACTCGAAGCATTTGAAAATGTGCTTTTGCAGTAGCATGTCTCAAATATAGTAAATTGTTGTCTGTCGAAATAACGTTTGCTTGTTTTTACTCAGAATAACCTATACTAGCTACATAGTAGAAAGTTCAAAACTTGAATACCAAATTAGCACATCGTATACAAATAAGAAGCCATTTAGTTCACAATTAAGCACTTGGTACAAAATTTAATGCTTAGTCTACAATTTTGTCCCCAATAAAGTACTTAGTCCAGTATCTTTAGTCCAGAGTAAAGTACCTAAGTAGTTCATAATGAATTATTCCGTCTATTGTGAACTACTTATCTCGAATAAAGTGCATAGTCCTGGATCAAGTATTTCCTAATTATTCGTAGAGTATGTCTGGGAACGTGAAGAGATACTGTAGAGATAGTGTTTTCCTCGCTTCCATTATTTTATTATTAATTTTATTGTGTTGGTCTTTAGGAAATCATTCGCAACGGAATACGATTTCCTAAGAATCTAGCTACAACAAGTGCTGTATCTTATGTTTTACAACAAAAGCCTGGTAAACTGAAAGCCAAAGATGTTCGACAAGGTATAGAAACATATTGTATGCATAAAATTTACTTTTAGTGACCATTTCTATGTTTGTGGATGAAAATATTTCACGGTACGACTTGAGATTAGTTCTTTTCTCAGACGTCAGAAAAACGTTAAGTCAGTAGCATATAATCTGAAACTTTTTAATGTCATTGCTTTTGTTAATGCTCGTTCTAAGAATTAAAGTTTTTATACTGTGATAACGTTCATCTGTTTGTTAATATGCAACGCCTGGTATTCATGTGGCAATTATTTATAATCAAAGCTGTTGAATATTATATTATTCACAGCTGTAAGAGACAAGAAAGACATTCTACTGAGCGGAAAGCAGTTAAAGGTATGATACCCAGAGTACATTGCACTCGCTAAGTCGCTATCATATGATAAGAAAGACTATTTGTTGCTCGTGATGGACAAATACGCATTGTACACTGTATACGAAATGCTGGCATACATCAATAGAATTATATAATATATATTTAAAGATAAATTTTATGTTATAAATATATGCTCACTTTTTATACTTATTAAACGCACTGAATAATCTAAATAACAATGGTTACAGTTGCACATCAAACAATCAAATACTAGGAATCTTTGTGGATTGATTTTCTTTTCTTATTTTTCTTGGACAGGAAACAGCATTTGAATATAAAGTTCAACAGACTATGACAGAAGAAAGACAAAATCAATTGCGCTGGTGTGTTGTTCGAAGTTTGAATTCTTTTAATTTAATTTGGAAGAAGCTTTGTATTTTTATGATAAATAGCGAAAGTTCATAGAGACATAAAATCAGATGTCATAGAGTAAACTTTCTGAAAGTGCGATAATTTTCACAAGCTTTAGATCGGTGGGAGTTTGTCTGAATAATTTGTGACTAAGTGAGCCAGTTCCACTGAGTAAGAAGGGCAAGTACTAAAGTACTTTCAATCAGTCGTTGTCATGACTACTATAAATTCAAACAGTCGGTCAAGGAGATTGCGAACAATCAGATGATTTCCTTAAAAATAAGAGACAAAGCGAGCTAGTTAATCAGAGAGCGATGAAAGTGCCCTCAGTTGTTTTTTTACTATGAGCAATAAATGATAATTTTTAATTTTGTATGGAGGCAAATTTTAAGGATTTTGGGGGGACCTGTGATTTAATATACAATAAAACTGCGATTAATGAGACACTTACACCAATATTTGTTAACAATGACGTTAGCAATGACGTTAGCAATGACGTTAGCAATGACGTTAGCAATGACGTTATCAATGACGTTAGCAATGACGTTATCAATGACGTTAGCAATGACGTTAGCAATGACGTTTCGAGTGTTTTCGAAAACCTTCAACTATTTAATCTTCATATTATTTTCATATTTGCACGACGTGATCTAAATGTTCTTTTATTCATTTTAAAAGGTGTGTCAAGTTAGGAGATGAGAAAATATCAGATGTTGAAAAAAGTCGTATTTTAGATGAACGAGTTCAGGCGAATAATGAATACAAGGTGAGTTAAAAACATTTTTATTTGCGGTGAAGTCAATGATGTTCGATCATATAATATATGAATACATAAAATAAAATAAAATTAGAGCTTATGGAGAAATAAAATAAATGTATGAAATATTTTATAGTGGACTCAAATTACAAATCAAAATGCAGTTTATTTTTATGAAACTCAACACCGTCCTTAGATTCCTAGTTATTACTTGAAATGCATTCCTAATTTTTAGTTATCATTGCTGATTGAGAAAATTTTTTTAAAACAAAATGTGGTATTTCAGATGCAAAAAGGTGATTTAGTATCCGAGGTTGAATTTGACCGCTCTGCTACTGAGTGTAATCAATGTCGAATACAACGTCAAGCTAAAACGGTAAAGTCATTGCTAATGAATCTATTTTAATTGAAAATTTTTATTCATAGACCCATTCAAATGATATTGTTAACTCTCTTTACTCGAGCTAAATAAGTATTAAGTCAACAATTAAAATGCAAAAATAATAATTTGTGATGTTTTTTATTTAGTTACTGTAGGTTTTTAACCTTTAAAGTATGTTAAATATAAAACTAAATATATGAAATTTTATGTGATATATATTATATTTTAAAATAATTATTCATGGTATTCTGTAGCACACACATTGTTTATTTTTAGTATCCCGCGTGCACTGCTCGCTTTGATTTTTTTGTAAATGATGATTGGACGAGAAGACATCGTGTGCTAAGTAGATTTATACAAATTGGAAGAAAGGTATTGTGCAATAATTAAATATAAATACTTTAAGATATTTGATTTTCTTTGACGAGTTTTTGCCGCAATGTTTGTCTTGCATTGGACTCGTTTGGACAAAGTTGACAGTCTGTAGAGGCTATATACAAGTGTATAATCGAGGTAGTCTAAGTAGTTCAGTTTGCAATCAGTTTATCTCTTCAAGTAAAGTTATATTGTCTTTTATTTATGAAGTTTGTCTTTTTTCGTAGATAATCGTGCGTCGTCGAGCTGATCGATATATTGAATCGTTAAACAAAAATTTAGTTGAAAGTTTAAGAGAAGGATCTTTTTTTCAAGGCAGTGCACGTATGTCTGATGTATGTTCTATTAACATGTATATGAATATTGTTCGTAGATATGTGTGTTTGTGTGTTGAATAATTTAGGTGCAAATCGTGCTAAGTCAGAAAACTGTACAACATCAACGGTGTTTCATTTGAGACCCCACATGGTTTCACCTTTTTTATTTCCAAAGTCATCATTGGATGATAAAAATAATGATCAGGTTAGTGATTCTCCTTAATCTCTGAATTATTTCCAAAGTCATCATTGGATGATAAAAATAATGATCAGGTTAGCGATTCTCTTTAATCTCTGAATTAGTGAAGTCATTCTATAAACAATGAGTTTCTGACTTTTGGAAGGGATATTTTGCTCTAGTTAACGTAGGCGAAAATACTTTATTAAGTATTTTTAGCAATGTTTGTTTAACAAAGTCAATGTATAAATATGATGGGGAAAAAATGTACTCATACCCACTACCACTTTCTGCGTTCATATTAAGAACTTGCTGACTTTTGTATGTTTATTTTGTAATGATTATAAGAGATGGAATTAATTCGTAAGCTCATGATTTTTTTAATCACAAACATAATATTTTGTATTGCAGATTGAAAAAAATATTGATGAATTACCTGTCGAATCAACTGTTGTTCATCTTGAACATTATACTCCATATTATAAACTTAAAGTAAGTGATCTTTGCAGCACTTTTGATTCAAATAGCCTTAGGCTATGTGCAACCGGTCTCAACATGGACTCTCTTAGCCTCTCTACATTTTAGACTCAACATGTTTAGAGAATTTGCACACTCTGGTGTGGAGTGTTTAGACTCAACATGTTTAGAGAATTTACACACTCCGGTGTGGAGTGTTTAGACTCAACATGTTTAGAGAATTTACACACTCTGGTGTGGAGTGTTTAGACTCAACATGTTTAGAGAATTTACACACTCTGGTGTGGAGTGTTTAGACTCAACATGTTTAGAGAATTTACACACTCCGGTGTGGAGTGTAAAATGGTATTGAGCAGTGTTGAGCGCTGTTTAGAAAAGTTTGAAGTTACTCTTACTTTCCATTTAACAGTGCTCAACATTTGTTTGTTCCGTTGTCACCAAGGCGTACATTGTTTAGTGCATGAACAGCACATTCAACAATGTTAAGCGAAGGCATGCGCACTGTTCAGCGTATATGTAGCTGTATACTGTAACTGGTCACTGAACCGTATATGTAGCTGTATATTGTAACTGGTCACTGAACCGTATATGTAGCTGTATATTGTAACTGGTCATTGAAGTGTATATGTAGCTGTATATTGTAACTGGTCACTGAACCGTATATGTAACTGTATACTGTAACTGGTCATTGAACCGTATATGTAGATGTATATTGTAACTGGTCACTGAACCGTATATGTAACTATATATTGTAACTGGTCACTGAACCGTATATGTAGCTGTATATTGTAACTGATCACTGAACCGTATATGTAGCTGTATATTGTAACTGGTCACTGAACCGTATATGTAACTGTATACTGTAACTGGTCATTGAACCGTATATGTGTATGTATATTGTAACTGGTCACTGAACCGTATATGTAACTATATATTGTAACTGGTCACTGAACCGTATATGTAGCTGTATATTGTAACTGATCACTGAACCGTATATGTAGCTGTATATTGTAACTGGTCACTGAACCGTATATGTAGCTGTATATTGTAACTGGTCGCTGAACCGTATATGTAGCTGTATATTGTAACTGGTCACTGAACCGTATATGTAGCTGTATATTGTAACTGGTCGCTGAACCGTATATGTAGTTGTATATTGTAACTGGTCACTGAACCGTATATGTAGCTGTATATTGTAAATGGTCGCTGAACCGTATATGTAGCTGTATGTTGTAACTGGTCACTGAACCGTATATGTAGCTGTATATATAGCAATAAAACAATGGTATCGATCAAATCATCTCTATGGTACCACAAAATCTAACCTTACCATGAAACAATAAAACGAAGACTTGGTTCTGGTGTGTACATTTCCCAAAAGTTCTGAAAACCAAGAAAAATCAAGAAAAGAAAAATCAAGAGAGAACCAAGAAAAATCTAGAAAAGAAAAATCAAGAGAGAACCAAGAAAAGCCAAGAGAGAACCAAGAAAAATCAAGAGAAAACCAAGAAAAGCCAAGAGAGAACCAAGAAAAATCTAGGAAAGAAAAATCAAGAGAGAACCAAGAAAATCCAAGAGAGAACCAAGAAAAATCAAGAATAGGAAAACCAAGAGTTAAAACAGTTCTTTTCAGAACTTTTGTTTTCGTGTTTTAATTCTAAACCAATTCCTTTCTGATCTCTTGTGTTTTTCTTGTCTTGTTTTTACTTAATTGTCTCTTGGGCTTCTTGGAATTCTTGGGTTTCAGAACTATATTGGGGCTTCTATATGTTTGCAAAACTCGTGTAAACTCTAAAATTTTTGGCTGTTCACCATGACAATTGCGCTCTTCATGGTATTATAATGAACCATTGGTATGAAATGTGTATTTCGTCATCTTTATAGGTACCGCAACAGTATGCTTTACTTGGTTATAAATCTCATACCACCCAACAATTGATTAGTTCTGATATGATCGGTGATATCCCAAGACCTTTGAGGACTGGAGCTGAGGTGGGAAAAAATTATTATAAAGTTTTATGTTTGACGTCTCAACATAAGTATTTTGCAATTTTTAATCTCTTAGGATGAAATTATCAAGATGGATTCATCTCTTCCTCATGCTATCAACATTAACAGCTTACCAATGGAGAATGATGTAGAGGCGAACAATAACGTTGTCGATGTGCTGAGACAGAGCACTGTTACTGCTGGTGATCGACTAGTGATACCTTATTCTGTATTTAAGAAACAAAAATATGATCCTTTGGAAATGTTTGTAAGTTGTATATCATCATCTTTGTTTAATAAATAAGGTAATGTTGTAAAAATCTTACTTTTTAATTACATGGAAGATTAACGCTATGATCTTCTTTTGAAAACAAGTAAAAGCTTATTCTTACTATATATTCTTACGGTATATCCCTGGTCACAATTCTAGAAGCTTATTGTCATAAGATTATTATGAGATTGTACTTACTTATTGCATTAGCACTGTTAGTGAATAAGTATTTAACTCAATCTTCTGTTTATTATTGATTTTGAACATTTCTAATCAACAATGAGTTATCTTTTATTTTCAGATTCCTTTACCTGATCTTCACGTTTTACAACCCCAAGTTTTATATTCTGAAGTTGATGATGAATACCATCTTTGTCCATTACCTCGTTATAAGTTGACTAGTAAAAATATTGCTGCAACTAAACATGAAAAATCATTAATTGAAAGACCTGTGAGTCATTTTCAATCTTCATTTTATCAAACTTATCCTTTTATTCCTCAAATATATCTTGACATCCTTGCAAACCTGTGAAGTTCTTTTACAGTGTTTGTAATATGCGAATTCTTATCCTTATAGTTCTACTCACAAGACTGACTTTCTATTCTCTTTGTTTTATTTTGGAGAATGAAAATTTGCAAGTTTGATTTTTTCCATTTGGCTAAAGGTCTATCTTTTCAGGATGTAATCTCGAGTTTAATGAGTTGGAAGAGATTTTCATGTCAAAGTTTAGTGACCGCTAGCAATGTTCCTCACATAACTGATGTTTGGGTCCCCCGTTTGTGAGTATGTTTAATATCAACAATGGTCAATGTTTAGTTAATGTTTTATACAATACTGTATTTTCCTTGAAGTTGACGATAACATTGATCTGCAAGAGCGAAGCAAGTATATATTGAAGCAAAATATTTTTGCTTGTGTAATGCATGCGTGACATTTGATAATTGATGATTTTGTTTTTATTCTGAGAGTTTCCTACTGTACAATGAATATCCTTACTTATTTATATGTTAATATTATTGAAAAATAGAAAATATTTAAACACATGCTATTTTTCCATTCGCCGCGGCAATTAAGGCTTCATCTTAAGGACCATAAACTTTGTTTTCCATCCGCAGAAGCAATATAGAATCCATATTTGGTGTGAACGTGAAATTTAGCACAGGAAAACATCATAATTTCTTTTACACAGCTATGCAATTTTTCTTTCTCTTTATGCTGTAAAATATACATATATGAACTTAATTATTATGGCCGAACTACAGTACATGCGTTGTATATGCAGTTAAGTCACACCCACCTTGTTCATTTCTATTTTTAGAACCAGTCCATTTCTTGACGACCTCCTTCCACCAGAACCACCTGCACTTCTTCAAGAACTGCCAGCTGATGACGTCATGAGGGATTTGTATGTACAATATTTGACAATATTGTAGTTTTTTTTTATCTTTTTACCTAGTTTTCACCCATCATTTTGTCTTTCTTTTTACCAATTAATGGATATTATCCTTTTGTTTTACGAAGCGTCTTTACTTAAAATGGCTCCCAAAAATTTAAAAAAATCACTTTGTCGTCGGTTTCATAATCGATACACGTAACTTGAATATTTTGTAAACACATATATTTTACCTCGACTTTAAATTATATTTATAGTTGCTGTCTAAAATTTAAATATTTAATTTATTTCCTGAGTTTTAATAGATATTTATTGCATTTGCACACGTTTCAAATAAAATGTCCTTATAAATAGCTTCTATTGGATAAATGGCCGTGACATAGCCAGCTCAATAAATGGGGGTAGTGGTCTGTATTCTGTGATTACAGAATTTTTGATGGAGTGATCTTATTTAAGGACGGAGATGATACAAATCTTTTTTGTCACATGACTTTCTTCCATGAGAATATTGTATTCCCTACAATGATGATGTAAAATGTTTTTCTTTAGCCATGATGACGTAAAATGTTTTTCTTTAGCCATGATGACGTAAAATGTTTTTCTTTAGCCATGATGATGTAAAATGTTTTTCTTTAGCCATGATGATGTAAAATGTTTTCTTTAGCCATGATGATGTAAAATGTTTTTCTTTAGCCATGATGACGTAAAATGTTTTCTTTAGCCATGATGATGTAAAATGTTTTTCTTTAGCCATGATGATGTAAAATGTTTTTCTTTAGCCATGATGACGTAAAATGTTTTCTTTAGCCATGATGATGTAAAATGTTTTCTTTAGCCATGATGATGTAAAATGTTTTTCTTTAGCCATGATGATGTAAAATGTTTTCTTTAGCCATGATGATGTAAAATGTTTTCTTTAGCCATGATGATGTAAAATGTTTTTCTTTAGCCATGATGACGTAAAATGTTTTCTTTAGCCATGATGATGTAAAATGTTTTCTTTAGCCATGATGATGTAAAATGTTTTTCTTTAGCCATGATGACGTAAAATGTTTTTCTTTAGCCATGATGACGTAAAATGTTTTTCTTTAGTCATGATGACGTAAAATGTTTTTCTTTAGCCATGATGACGTAAAATGTTTTTCTTTAGCCATGATGACGTAAAATGTTTTTCTTTAGCCATGATGATGTAAAATGTTTTCTTTAGCCATGATGATGTAAAATGTTTTCTTTAGCCATGATGACGTAAAATGTTTTCTTTAGCCATGATGACGTAAAATGTTTTTCTTTAGCCATGATGACGTAAAATGTTTTCTTTAGCCATGATGACGTAAAATGTTTTCTTTAGCCATGATGACGTAAAATGTTTTCTTTAGCCATGATGACGTAAAATGTTTTTCTTTAGCCATGATGACGTAAAATGTTTTCTTTAGCCATGATGACGTAAAATGTTTTTCTTTAGCCATGATGATGACACTGCAGAGACCTCAACCAATCCCACTATGCTTGTGCCTGCTATGGTAAATGCAATGTTTCCACTTGTGAGCAACACTCTTTCACAGGAGAATGAAGATACTAGGTTAGTTAGACCCACAACGTATATACTGTAAGGCTTTACAGGTTAAAAAATAATTTTGTAATTTTCTATGGTTAATGCAACTGTGTTTATTTCATGTTATTTTATGGCAAGCGTCACTTCCGGCTAAATGGCGCGCTTTGATTGGCTCAGAAATATTTTTGCCGGCCCATTATTTTCCCGTAATCGACCACGATCCAAAACGCGTAATTTTGCAGTCAAATGTAAACAAACTTCGTAAAGCAAACAACAAAACGCAAAAAAAAGAAACAAAAATAATTTACGAATGTGAGTCGAAGGAAAAACACTCGTAAAACAATTTAACCATCCAGACGATACAATTTGAAACGATTTATTTTTTACTGACAAAAACTAGAAAAGCGAAAGTCGACCCTTACAAAACAGCAAAGGACGAGAAAGAAAGCAAGCTTCGTTTCAGTTCAAATAATGCCTTATAATAATCCTTTTAATAACCTCGCTTTCTCGGTCTTTACTGAGAAATATTGGACCTCTGTCTTTTTGTACAAACCTCGCCCTACGAGCTCGGTCTGTACAAAAACATCTCCGTCCGTTATTTCTCCGTAAAGACCTCATGCTCGGTTATTAAGGGCTTAATATTGATTTACCTGTTTTACTCAACTGTGCATGAAACCATTTTTCATTGTGGTCTTTAAAGCTGTCAATTCACTAACGACAATGTTGACTTTAATTGTTTGTTACGATATCAATATTTTTTTTGATTGTTAATGAAAAATTTGTTTATTGTATTTAAGTAATGAAATATTTCCACAAAGTGGACGACTACCTCCAAGTAACAACCCAGTGTCTTCACAAGGATTATTATCCAGGTATAAAGAAATTTTTTATTTCTTTAATATCTCAAAGACACCAAACCACGATTTTGCTGTTTAAATAGAAAATTCGTTGTTAAGGGATTTTAAAATCTTTTTTTTACATTGCCACAACTTTTGAACCATACATTATTTGTTTTGTCTAAACTAAAGTTTTCCACTGCTATTATAATGATAAGTTTCTTATTCATGCATGCAATCTTCATTTCGATTAGCTAAAAGTCCCCATCCAACCACACGTCTTGCTGGCTACAATTATTTTCAGCTTTCGAGTTTAGTTTAATTTTTAATTTCTGTTTGATTTTTGCATAATATAAAAATTTTCAACTTTCAAACATAAAATGTGGTAGAAACATTCTCTGCATTAATTGTTGACTATCTGTATTTTTTAGAGATGAACGAGCTGCTTCCCTAAATACTCATATTAATGTTTGCTGTGATCGCTTGGGTAAAGCTGTACGTCTGAGATTACAGGAAATAAATGGCATTTTGAAAGATGATAAATTAAAAACAACTTTATAAACAAATTTACGATGATATTGTTTTATCGTGTTTTTTTTTTAAATATTTTGCCTAGTTTTTTACTTTGACCAGTTTGTATCATAAAATATCTCACAATAATGCTAAATATTATCATGGCATTGTAATATTTAGTATTATTAGCAAAAACTTTGTGTGTTGTTTTAATATCTAAGCGTTTTAGGCATTAATGAAAGTTCTATGAAATTCTTCAATTTTAATTCAGAGACCTACTACCGTATTCTAACAAATAAAAATTGTTCAACGCATGTCTATAACTGCTTTTTTGAATTACCTGCAATTGTATGCAGAAAATTTTGACTAAAATGTTTAAAATGTAAAGAGAAACATCTGCCAACACTTCAATACTATGTTAAGATGATCTGATGAGAGAAAAAGTGAGACACTGTTCGCTGAAAACTAATTAAAAAATTCTTTTGCTCTTTGGTCCTTTTCTTTACTTTTCTAGACAATTAAAGTAATTGTTGAGAAATTGCTGTTTGTGAATTTCTCTTTAGCTGTTTAAGCCACTGCAAAGGCTATGACATACGCATGACGAGACAGATGGAACACTTGAGTAGACATCTGTTTAAGTTAGCTGTTTTGAAAACGCAACGTATAAAGACCTATACGCACTGTAATAAAACAAGCAAAGCGAAGATATAAATTGGTATGAAATACTTAAAGATATTTTTATTTGCAATGATTAATCGTAATGATAAGAATTATGATATATTTATGTGTAAATTCTAGGATAAATAGATGAGCCAAAGTTGTCAATTCATTCCTTTCTTTGTAGAGTACAAAGTGACTCTAAACACAGATAGACTGAATATCGCCTTTGATGTTTAGAGCAGTACCAGTTTTTGGCTAAAGCAGGAATAGTTTTGCTCTGATAAATCCCCATTATAATAATTTTTGTTTGAGAACGAAACAAAACAAAACACATAAAATAGAAACAAAAAATAAAAGCGATGCTTTTATGTATACACTGAAACTAGCTATCGTTTATGCAAAGTAATTTTCTTTTGCTTGAATTTTTCTGTGTTAAACATTAAATAAACTTCAATCGCTTTGCGTCTTCAAGATGAAAGTGTCTCACAAACAAAGTGTTCTTTCATTCACTCCCCCTCCCCTTCCACCTCTCCATTTATAACTTAAAGATTGCAACTTGTTAGTGCCTTTCAGTTTATTAGCTATATCGCATTTAAATAATTTGGTGTATTATGAAAGTTTTGAAATGGATAACTTCGTAATCTATATCATTATAAATTATTAGTTGATTATAAAAACATACATAATTTATGGCTGTTGCAATATGTACATTTTCTCCATTTGAAGAAATGAACGTGTAGTTTTTACAACTTGTGGATGGAAGTTGGACAAAATACTATTGAAAAAATGATCATGGATGTATCTTCATTTTTCATACTCACTTTTTCTTTGCTATTTTAAAGAAATATTTGTCTTGCACAACACAATATCGCCCATATTTCAACTTGCATACTAGCTTATTTAATTCAATTTCTTGTGAATACAACTCATTCATTTTACAAAATCTGTCATTAGAGATATTTGTGCTGTGTTTTGCTCAAGATTTGGATTGAAAAAAATTTTGTCGACTTATAAATGACATCTTGTTTTTACCAAAGCGTTAGTTTTCCAATTATACTTGTTTCTTTCTATGTCATGCATTCAGACCAGTAAACCACTTAAATATTTATGTTACTATGAATATTTCCATTTATAAAATTCCTGTTTTTATTTAGAAATCTCAATTAGAAATAGTTTCTAATATTTAGTGAAAGCTTTGCTAATTTTTCGTGCATTTTATTGATATCATCTCATTTACAAAAAAATTGCTATTCCATTGTAGGTACGATGATATCTTACGTAAGAGATTTTTTCATTTTCCTTCTCCTTTCTGCCAGCTCTAAGCAAAAATGCCAGAATAATAATACAGGTTAGTATAACTTTTTTTTAAAGCCTTTTAAGGCATTTATGTTTTATTCATAAGCAGTTCGCTGTTCATAAGTGATTATTTATAATTTTGATTATTGCCTACTTTACATACAGCAAAATGACAATGTAACATATTGATATAGTAAAAAAAATTAGTTTCAGTAACACGATGTGCCCTTTAAGACGAGGTCAAGAAAATGAAAAATAGTGTAAACCCCATTCATACATGATGGATGATTGACACAGTGGAGAAGTCAGTCTACAGGTTTTGGTCCTGCTATGTAAATTTCAGATGAATATTATTGTTAAATTTCTTAATGGGCCGATTATATGGTCAATTTCAACCCGGGCTGAGTTTCAGCCTTGGCTGAAGTTGCTCCATGTACTCGGCCCCTTAGAAACGCTTTGTTTTGGTGACTGAAGAAACACAGAAATTTGCACTATTGAATTTTATTAATGGAACTTTTTCACTTTAATCAAAAATGATTTCTTAATATGTTGTTTACGTGTAATCATAACATGCGCGTGCCTGTGGCTGGTTTTTTAAAAACATAGATAGCTTTAGCAACTATGTTAAAATACATCCTAGTATTTTTTTCTTTTTGAAGTTCTCATGTCTATTGTTTTTATTTTAGATGAAAACTGTACATTGGATATTCTACGTTGCACAGAAAATATTACAATACCACAAACAAATTATTCCTGTGTTCTGTCTAATAAAGGTTATTTTTTAAATCAATGGAAAAAAATGAATAACGCTGCACCTCAAGTGAATGTTTACAACCTTCATTTGTTTCATTGTATCATCAGAAAAACTATTGAATAGGATTGAGTAAAATATGAATTATTTTGCCACCAGGTCAGTGTTTTCACCTTAGTTAAAGGTTGAGGTGATCAACACGGACGATATGCTACGAAGGAAAATTATACATGATTGCTTAATTTATTGTATACGTTCGACATGTTCAAAAGATAAATGTATGAACAAGCAAATCTGAATCATTTTACCTGATTGAATTAACTCAAATTAGGCATACCAGTGACAACAACAGCATGATTTCATTGATTTGCACAATCTTATTTGTCTTTATCCTTATTATTGTCAAACTCCTCGTTGAATTCAATTTTTTGAATTCCTAGATTTTACTGGATGCAAAGACTTGAAAATGAAACACACATATACATCTCAAGTACAAATATGTGATAATGGCGAAATGTAAATAACTTTAAAATAATCGATTAAATAGAAGTTTGCTTCAGAATAAAGAAAAGACACTTTTATTAAGAAAAGACAAATTAATTAAGGAAAAGATTTTTATATTATAATAACAACTTCTAATAAACCAAGACAAAAAATGTGCCGGAAAAGTCGTTTTGAAAAAGACTACATGAGACTTTATAGGAACGTTAATAAGGAAAGAGTGTCAATGAAGGTTATCTTTCATGTGTCTTGACAAAAAACAAATAATTCACTCATGCATGGAACATATAAAAAAATCATTTTTAAAGCTTTGTATAAGTGTACAAACTAACAATGCTGCTTACTGTAAGTAAAAAACGTAAATTTTGCTCTCTTTTCAGTGATGAAGAGAAAGTCCAACGTATCTGTGGAGATGTATTTCGACAAAAAGAAAAATGTCTTGTTACTGTGAAGACTTTGTAAGTATTTCTAAGGCTATGTTTGAATATAACAGTTTTATATTCTCTTTTAATGTTTAATACCATTCTAAAAGACAAATACTACATTCTTAAATGCCAGCGATGCACAATATTACCATTACATTTAGTGTGACTTATTTACTATTGCAAACTATGATCAAATATTTCCTGAGATATTCGAAGATAACGGGAAAAAATTGGAACAAGAAATGCATTCTTTGATTACATAAAAACTTATCATATAATTAATCATAAAATTCAAAGGAAAAAAACAATGTTGTTAAATGTTGGCAAATTTGTGTTGAATAAAGCTTGTATTGTTCATATTTAAACTAGAAGGCTATATTTTTTATTCATTATTTTAGAGATTTGTCAAACAATAAACTTTCATTACAAAACTGTGAGATGTTTAATGGACTAACCGAACTGGAAAATCTGTAAGTGCATTTGAAGTACATAATCCGATAGTGCACTTATCCATGGTAATGTAATTTCTTTTTTCACATTGAAATTTATTCTTTGCTTTCCATATAATTTTTTAGCAACTTAGCTGGAAACGATTTAAAAGAAATTCCAACAGACTGTTTTAAAAGTTTGACCAATTTGAAACACCTGTAAGCATTTACTATTTTGTATTCTTATAGCTTTGTTTTTCTATCTTAATTGTTCAATTTTGGCAATCTATTGTTAAACTTGTCGATCCCATTGTGGTATTGGTCCAGTGGCGCACCTAGGGACGTCGACTTGAAATATAGATTGTTTTCATAGGAATCTGCTTCTTTTTATCAGCTGTTAAATGTTGGCAAATTTGTGTTGAATAAAGCTTGTATTGCTCATATTTAAACTAGAAGGCTATATTTTTTATTCATTATTTTAGAGATTTGTCAAACAATAAACTTTCATTACAAAACTGTGAGATGTTTAATGGGCTAATCGAACTGGAAAATCTGTAAGTGCATTTGAAGTACATAATCCGATAGTGCACTTATCATGGTAATGTAATTTCTTTTTTCACATTGAAATTTATTCTTTGCTTTCCATATAATTTTTCTAGCAACTTAGCTGGAAACAGTTTAAATAAAATTCCAACAGACTGTTTTAAAAGTTTGACCAATTTGAAACACCTGTAAGCATTTACTATTTTGTATTCTTATAGCTTTGTTTTTGTATCTTAATTGTTCAATTTTGGCAATCTATTGTTAAACTTGTCGATCCCATTGTGGTATTGGTCCAGTGGCGCACCTAGGGACGTGGGGTTGTAATTTAGATTGTTTTCATAGGAATCTGCTTCTTTTTATCAGCTGTTAAATATTGGAAAATTTATGTTGAATAAAGCTTGTATTGTTCATATTTAAACTAGAAGGCTATATTTTTTATTCATTATTTTAGAGATTTGTCAAACAATAACCTTTCATTACAAAACTGTGAGATGTTTAATGGGCTAATCGAACTGGAAAATCTGTGGATGTTTTAGAAGTACATTACATAAAGCCCCTTATAGTTATGGACTTATTTTGATTTTCGTTCAAGGAAAACTATATTTTGTTATTTTTCTTGACATGTAGTTCCTATTTCATTTTCTAGTGACTTGTCACACAACAACATTGCGGAAATTCCCAAGGGATGTTTTAAAACTCTTAACAAATTAAGAAATCTGTAAGCATTTTTTTATTTATTGTTTGTTGATTATGTTTTCTGTTTTTATGTTCTGTCAAATTTTTTCATCCCAATTCTTTTTCTTGGTTTACATTTTTTAATGAAATTTCAAACACACATGCAGGCTGGTCAATAGTTTTTTGAATTAAATTTTTTTCTTCGAATATGAATTTACTTTTTTCACCCAGCATCTTCTATTTCTTCCTTTTTTTGTTATTTGATATTGTCCTGCGTAAAAATTTCTTTTATGCATGATCAAAAACAAAATTCAGACAAAAAATGGATCTGTAATCATTTAAAACAATCTCCTAAGCATTTTGTAATTTCACTTTCAAATATTTTATAGCAATATTTCTCACAATAAAATAAAGAAAATTGATCGTCACACATTTGATGGACTATGTAGTTTAGAAATGTTGTAAGTGCACCATTTTTGTATATTTTATAACTCCAAATTTGAATCAGTAACTCGTATTGCAAATGATGAATGTATATATCGTCATCATGTGCAGATATTACTGCCATGTTTTGTGATTCATGAACAAGCTGAGATTGCTAACCTGGGGTGAAGATCAAGTCTATACCCACTACTAATTAAAGAGAATTTCATCATGATGACGTTTGCATTAGCCATGGTTTTTTATTTTACTATGTAATATGGTCATAACTGAATATTTTTTTTTATCAATATTGAGAGTAATAATTAAGATCGTATTTTAATATTTAGATCATTCAATAGCAATAAAGCAAAAGTCCGACCTCGTGATATTTTTACTTTAAGAAATTTAAAGTTTGTGTAAGTATACATTGATCAATGATTCATTTATCCAATTTTTGTTAGATTTTCAGATATGTAAAATATAGTTTCGCGTTTATTGCGAGATATAAGTATCCAATAGTGAGCAAACGTTTTCTTTTGTAGTGAAATATCTTGTGAAAATTGCTGCCCCTTTCTTTGTTTGAATAATAGTATAACATGTAACTGCAATGGAGACCCGAGAAAGAAATGCCCACGGAGGCTGTTGCATAAAGAAGGTTATCGTGTGTTTGTGTGGATTGCCGTTGTTCTCATTTTTGTTGGCAATATTTTTGCTCTGATAATGAGGCTTCTTTTTGCCGAGTTACATACAGTACAAAATCTTTTTATTTGCAATTTATGCTTGAGTCATATGTTGATGGGAGTGTATTTGGTTGGAATAATGTACAAAGATCTGGCAACATACGGTGAATACCTTCCTCATAAATGTCTATGGCCAAAGGAAACGACATGTAAAGTTCTTGGAGCTATCTCGATTATTTCAAGCGAGGTTTCGGTGTTTACACTAATCTTTATTGCATACGACAGATTTTTGTATGTTGTTCATGGTTTACATCATAAAAAGATCCGATACCGTACAGCATTGGTACTTTTATTGTTTACATGGCTAATATCTGCTGCTGTTGGTGTTTTGTCTATTTGTCTTCCTAATTACATACCCCAGTGTCAAGGAAGGAAACTTGATTACCAGTATTTCCGGAAGACATGTATACCAGTGGAGTTCAAAGAGAAAAACACTGTTTTTTGGTATTACAGTATTGCAATATTTGGCGTTATCAACCCTGCAGCAGCTGTGTGTCTGATCATCCTCTACATGAGAATATTCTTTTCGTTTTACATGACATCAAGAGATGCAGAAAATCGAACGTATGACCATCGCGTTATGGCAAAAAGATTTGCTGCAGTTGTTTTCACAGGTAAATGAAAAAATATAAAATTCAATTTGATAAACTCAATTTTATCTATGGAAACAAAATTGACCGAAACACCGAAAAACATATTTGGAAATGGGAACTCAAGCTCACGATAGATTTATTTTGATTGAGCCAAATTGCAAATTTTTGTGTGAACATACCACATGCAAGTCACGATACTGATCATATTTGTTGAATGAGAGTCTTCTGTAAACAATCAGCTACATTACATCTCATGTCATGTATGTTACTGTAGAAAGCACATAAACATAAAAATATAATAAAAATGGAATTTGAGATCTTCCCTCAAATCGGAGCTACCGTGTTGATTGGGTTGACGGGCAAGATCAAATCACCTCTCCTCTTAGGCAGTCCAGCATGCAACGTTCTACTTTATATGTGGGGTGTGTGATATTTTGATTTAAAACAAAAACTATTTGGCAACAGCCAGCTATTCTATCTATTTTGACTTTTTTGAAGAAATAATGCATATTAATAAATGACCGATTCAACCTTGGTTTGGATACAATCAAAAAATATTTCATGATAATTGAATCTTGTGAGCGTAAGGGATATAATTTAATGTTGTTTTCATGGTAACTTTTGATTGCGTCGGCAATTGTGTTTTTATATTAACATATAGCTTTATTGTTATAGATGTCTGCTGCTGGATTCCCGTCTCAACACTTTTTTTTATAGATCACGATGAAAATCATCTTGTTTACAAATTATTTATTTTTGTTGTGACCATTAACTCGGCCATCAATCCGTTCCTCTATACATTAAGTGCTCCCACGTTTTGGAATGTAGTGAAGAAATTCTTTCTCAGAATTTTCAATAAATGGAAGTAATAATGGTTGTGACAAAATGCTATGGATTTATGAATATACTTAATTATTAAGTTGTTTTCGTCAATGGAAATTCTTATCATAAATTAAGCACATTTCACTCCTCTATTTTCAAGTAGATCAGCTCGATTTGACTGATCTAGCACTACATAATAATCACAGTTAGTAAACTGCTAAATGTAAAGTCGCACTTGTAGCTAAATTAACAATTGAAATTGGAGGTGGAATTTTGAACAACTGTGTAACTGTATTGATATTCCTATAGCCATGGATAAATAAACTCATGTGTGTATTTCACAATATGATCACAAGAGACCATGCACTTGTTTACTAAAACTTTAAGTAGTTCCAAAAAATAGCTTTTACAGCCCTGTATATAATTTTGATATGAGAGAAGACAACGGCAAAAGATATTCAGTCAGTCTAAAAGCTCCATTTATGAAATCTAATAAACTGCTATGCGTTTTATACGAACGAACGAGCATCACCATTAGCTATAGGGCTGCCTCAGGTCAGCCTTGATATGGATTGGAACACAGTAAAATGAAAAACAGTATTGCCTTTTTACAGAAATTTTTCATCTCATATCTTCTTCACACGGTATTGCCACAATGAAGCCAGTAAATTGCTTCTTCCGATCAAGGAAACACTAACAGCAAAGTGGTCCTACAGTTTCCAATTTTTCAATACTGTGTGTTGTTCCATGAGAAATACCAATAAACCTATCATTAGCCGCTCCAATATCAATTGCTCGATCTTTGTGTCTAGTCTGTTCTACCATTCTTCACCGCGATGGTTGTTGAAACAACGCACGCCGCAAATGTAGAGCAAGTGGCAATCTTGTTCAAACGTGTTAGGGAAAGCTTTGAAGTTGCTAAAGAGCTGGTTGGCTTGGACCAAGTCGCATCAAGTGATGCTGAAACTATTTGCGGTGTTAACACAGATGTTTTTAAGCGATTGAATCTTGCTATATCAAAAATACGCGGACAGAATTCCGGTGTGGCAACAAGATTGCAAAGAAAATAGCAAAAAACCGTTTTCACTCTTTGTTACGTCATTCGCTTAACTTGGCCTGTGGTGTTACCATAAAACGAAGCAAACTTATGCGAGACGCTCTGGACAGAACACACGAGTTAACAAAATTGATTAAGAAAATTTTTCTTACAAGATGGACTGTACGTGCTGAGGCTTTGAATAGCATCATTGACAACCACCAGTTGAAAGTACGGAACAATATAATATTTTGATATTATTGTCTTTTGTGTTATATCGTGCAGTACATCAGATTGTAGTTTTATCTCATCTTTAAAAATTCGTCGACTAATTTATGTAATTTGCCCTACGAGACCAAAGATTGAGGAAAGGGGTGTATCATGTATCACGACAATGCTGTCTAGTTATTCGTGAGAACAGTAAAATTTTACTTTCTAAAACTTTTTTTTACGGTGCGTTACAATGATGCGTTATAGCCATATGGTTATAAATTATTCGGGATCTATAATATTATAATCCGGGATTCTAATATTATATATTATATTATATTATATTATTATTATCCGGGATCTAGAATATTATAATTTTATGGCAGATGTAAACACAAGTGTAAGTAAGCTGTAAAATGTGTGTGATCAGAATTGATAACTTCTTTCTTGTATGGTTTCCTTTTATAGAGAACAGATTAAACTTAAGTATAAATTTGCTTGGTAAATTACCGATAGAATATCATAGCATTGATTGTCATTTAACTGCGAGTCTATTCTATGTAAATGACGCAATCAAAAAATGGATCGATTTCATGGAAAGACAATGTAAAGGTGTATTTAGATGATTATAACAGTGACCTAAATTTTGTCATAGAAGAAGATGGATTAACTGGTTCCTGTTTGCATAAAGATGGCTTTGAGTTCATTTGGGCCGGAGCTAGAGCTACACATGGCGTATCAAGGGGAAAGGTAAAATTTTCAACTTTTATCTTTTTTTTTACTGACAATGTACGATTTCAAATACCATACTATAACATAATGTTGTCTTTGTAAGAAATTTGATTAAATATCTCGAACATAAAGTGTCTTATACAAGATATTGGCAAGATGGTCTTCTATATCCAAAATATGAAAATAATTATTCAGCTGTCATGTTAAATTAATTGTAATGCATTTGTCATTGGAGGGGGGAGGGATTGTGGTTAGGGTTACCTTGATAAGTTTGGTATCAGCTCTCTGGTAGATAATGAATATATTCTAAGTTAGACCCTGTTTACACTAGCCCAGGCTGATATTCAATGTGGTTCAATTTAACAATGTAGTAATCTTTGTCAAATGACTTTAGTTTCGACTTATTTTGAACTCACAAAATTTTGCATGAAATAATTTGGTATCTTACTTTTTTATTTCACTTACAGACCTAGACATGCCCAAATACAATCTCTGATGATTAATAAATGTATGCACTATACTAGCTAAAATAATTACAATCAAACCTGTATTAAGGGGCCCTTCATCAAGCAGACACCCTGTATTAAATAGGACACTTAGTAAAGTCCCGAATTAAATCTCATATAATTTGTAGTAATGAAACCCCTATCAAGTGGACACTGACACAAAACTTGTCCAATAATAACACAAAAATCTGTGTTTAACAGACTATTCTTCAAAATATTTCATGTTATCTACTGACTTAATGTTGTTCACACAGCTATGCAATTTTTCTTTCTCTCTATGCTGTAAAATATATATATATGAACTTAATTATTATGGCCGAACTACAGTACATGCGTTGTATATGCAGTTAGGTCACACTCACCTTGTTCATTTCTATTTTAGAACAAGTCCATTTCTTGATGACCTCCTTCCACCAGAACCACCTGCACTTCTTCAAGAACTGCCAGCTGATGACGTCATGAGGGATTTGTATGTACAATATTTGACAATATTGTAGTTTTTTATCTTTTACCTAGTTTTCACCCATCATTTTATCTTTTTACCAATTAATGGATATTATCCTTTTGTTTTACGAAGCGTCTTTACTTAAAATGGCTCCCAAAAATTTAAAAAAATCACTTTGTCGTCGGTTTCATAATCGATACACGTAACTTGAATATTTTGTAAACACATATATTTTACCTCGACTTTAAATTATATTTATAGATGCTGTCTAAAATTTAAACATTTAATTTATTTCCTGAGTTTTAATAGATATTTATTGCATTTGCACTTGTTTACAATAAAATGTCCTTATAAATAGCTTCTATTGGATAAATGGCCGTGACATAGCCAGCTCAATAAATGGGGGTAGTGGTCTGTATTCTGTGATTACAGAATTTTGATGGAGTGATCTTATTTAAGGACGAAGATGATATAAATCTTTTTGTCACATGACTTTCTTCCATGAGAATATTGTATTCCTACAATGATGATGTAAAATGTTTTTCTTTAGCCATGATGACGTAAAATGTTTTCTTTAGCCATGATGACGTAAAATGTTTTTCTTTAGCCATGATGACGTAAAATGTTTTTCTTTAGCCATGATGACGTAAAATGTTTTCTTTAGCCATGATGACGTAAAATGTTTTTCTTTAGCCATGATGACGTAAAATGTTTTCTTTAGCCATGATGACGTAAAATGTTTTTCTTTAGCCATGATGACGTAAAATGTTTTTCTTTAGCCATGATGACGTAAAATGTTTTCTTTAGCCATGATGACGTAAAATGTTTTTCTTTAGCCATGATGACGTAAAATGTTTTTCTTTAGCCATGATGACGTAAAATGTTTTCTTTAGCCATGATGACGTAAAATGTTTTTCTTTAGCCATGATGACGTAAAATGTTTTTCTTTAGCCATGATGACGTAAAATGTTTTTCTTTAGCCATGATGACGTACAATGTTTTTCTTTAGCCATGATGACGTAAAATGTTTTTCTTTAGCCATGATGATGACACTGCAGAGACCTCAACCAATCCCACTATGCTTGTGCCTGCTATGGTTAATGCAATGTTTCCACTTGTAAGCAACACTCTTTCACAGGAGAATGAAGATACTAGGTTAGTTAGACCCACAACGTATATACTGTAAGGCTTTCAGGTTGAAAAATAATTTTGTAATTTTCTATGGTTAATGCAACTGTGTTTATTTCATATTATTATATGGCAAGCGTCACTTCCGGCTAAATGGTGCGCTTTGATTGGCTCAGAAATATTTTTGCCGGTCCATTATTTTCCCGTAATCGACCACGATCCAAAACGCGTAATTTTGCAGTCAAATGTAAACAAACTTCGTAAAGCAAACAACAAAACGCAAAAAAAAGAAACAAAAATAATTTACAAATGTGAGTCGAAGGAAAAACACTCGTAAAACAATTTAACTATCCAGACGATACAATTTGAAACGAGTTCTTTTTTACTGACAAAAACTAGAAAAGCGAAAATCGACCGTTACAAAACAGCAAAGACGAGAAAGAAAGCAAGCTTCGTTTCAGTTCAAATAATGCCTTATAATAATCCTTTTAGTAACCTCGCTTTCTCGGTCTTTACTGAGAAATATTGGACCTCTGTCTTTTTGTACAAACCTCGCCCTACGAGCTCGGTCTGTACAAAAACATCTCCGTCCGTTATTTCTCCGTAAAGACCTCATGCTCGGTTATTATGGGCTTAATATTGATTTACCTGTTTTCCTCAACTGTGCATGAAACCATTTTTTATTTTCGTCTTTAAAGCTGTCAATTCACTAACGACAATGTTGACTTTAATTGTTTGTTACGATATCAATATTTTTTTTGATTGTTAATGAAAAATTTATTTATTGTATTTAAGTAATGAAATATTTCCACAAAGTGGACGACTACCTCCAAATAACAACCCAGTGTCTTCACAAGGATTATTATCCAGGTATGAAGAAATTTTTTATTTCTTTAATATCTCAATGACACCAAACCACGATTTTGCTGTTTAAATAGAAAATTCGTTGTTAAGGGATTTTAAAATCTTTTTTTTACATTTGCCACAAATTTTGAACCATACATTATTTGTTTTGTCTAAACTAAAGTTTTCCACTCCTATTATAATGATAAGTTTCTTATTCATGCATGCAATCTTCATTTCGATTAGCTAAAAGTCCCCATCTAACCACACGTCTTGCTAACAACAATTATTTTCAGCTTTCGAGTTTAGTTTAATTTTTAATTTCTGTTTGATTTTTGCATAATATAAAAATTTTCAACTTTCAAACATAAAATGTGGTAGAAACATTCTCTGCATTGTTGACGATCTGTATTTTTTAGAGATGAACGAGCTGCTTCCCTAAATACTCATATTAATGTTTGCTGTGATCGCTTGGGTAAAGCTGTACGTCTGAGATTACAGGAAATAAATGGCATTTTGAAAGATGATAAATTAAAAACAACTTTATAAACAAATTTACGATGATATTGTTTTATCGTGTTTTTTTTTTAAATATTTTGCCTAGTTTTTTACTTTGACCAGTTTGTATCATAAAATATCTCACAATAATGCTAAATATTATCATGGCATTGTAATATTTAGTATTATTAAAAAACTTTGTGTGTTGTTTTAATATCTAAGCGTTTTAGGCATTAATGAAAGTTCTATGAAATTCTTCAATTTTAATTCAGAGACCTACTACCGTATTCTAACAAATAAAATTGTTCAACGCATGTCTATAACTGCTTTTTTGAATTACCTGCAATTGTATGCAGAAAATTTTGACTAAAATGTTTAAAATGTAAAGAGAAACATCTGCCAACACTTCAATACTATGTTAAGATGATCTGATGAGAGAAAAAGTGAGACACTGTTCGCTGAAAACTAATTAAAAAATTCTTTTGCTCTTTGGTCCTTTTCTTTACTTTTCTAGAAGTCTTTTTGACAATTAAAGTAATTGTTGAGAAATTGCTATTTGTGAATTTCTCTTGACATACGCATGACGAGACAGATGGAACACTTGAATAGACATCTGTTTAAGTTAGCTGTTTTGAAAACGCAACGCATAAAGACCTATACGCACTGTGATAAAACAAGCAAAACGAAGATATAAAATGGTATGAAATACTTAAAGATATTTTTATTTGCAATGATTAATCGTAATGATAAGAATTATGATATATTTATGTGTAAATTCTAGGATAAATAGATGAGCCAAAGTTGTCAATTCATTCCTTTCTTTGTAGAGTACAAACTGACTCTAAACACAGATAGACTGAATATCGCCTTGGATGTTTGGAGCAGTACTAGTTTTTGGCTAAAGCATGAATAGTTTTGATCTGATAAATCCCCATTATAATAATTTTTGTTTGAGAACGAAACAAAACAAAACACATAAAATAGAAACAAAAAAATAAAAGCGATGCTTTTATGTACACACTGAAACTAGCTATCGTTTATGCAAAGTAATTTTCTTTTGTTTGAATTTTTCTGTGTTAAACATTAAATAAACTTCAATCGCTTTGCGTCTTCAAGATGAAAGTGTCTCACAAACAAAGTGTTCTTTCATTCACTCCCCCTCCCCTTCCACCTCTCCATTTATAACTTAAAGATTGCAACTTGTTAGTGCCTTTCAGTTTATTAGCTATATCGCATTTAAATAATTTGGTGTATTATGAAAGTTTTGAAATGGATAACTTCGTAATCTATATCATTATAAACTATTAGTTGATTATAAAAACATACATAATTTATGGCTGTTGCAATATGTACATTTTCTCCATTTGAAGAAATGAACGTGTAGTTTTACATCTCGTGGATGGATGGAGTTGGACAAAATACTATTGAAAAAAAATAATCATGGATGTATCTTCATTTTTCATACTCACTTTTTCTTATATTTGTCTTGCACAACACAATATCGTCCATATTTCAACTTACATACTAGCTTATTTAATTCAATTTCTTGTGAATACAACTCATTCATTTTACAAAATCTGTCATTAGAGATATTTGTGCTGTGTTTTGCTCAAGATTTGGATTGAAAAAAATTTTGTCGACTTATAAATGACATCTTGTTTTTACCAAAACGTTAGTTTTCCAATTATACTTGTTTCTTTCTATGTCATGCATTCAGACCAGTAAACCACTTAAATATTTATGTTACTATGAACATTTCCATTTATAAAATTCCTGTTTTTATTTAGAAATTTCAATTAGAAATAGTTTCTAATATTTAGTGAAAGTTTCGCTAATTTTTCGTGCATTTTATTGACATCATCTCATTTACAAAAAATTTGCTATTCCATTGTAGGTACGATGATATCTTACGTAAGAGATTTTTTCATTTTCCTTCTCCTTTCTGCCAGCTCTAAGCAAAAATGTCAAAATAATAATACAGGTTAGTATAACATTTTTTTAAAGCCTTTTAAGGCATTTATGTTTTAATCATAAGCAGTTCGCTGTTTGTAAATGATTATTTATAATTTTGATTATTTCCTACTTTACATACAGCAAAATGACAATGTAACATATTGATATAGTAAAAAAAATTAGTTTCAGTAACACGATGTACCCTTTAAGACGAGGTCAAGAAAATGAAAAATAGTGTAAACCCCATTCATACATGATGGATGATTGACACAGTGGAGAAGTCAGTCTACAGGTTTTGGTCCTGCTATGTAAATTTCAGATGAATATTATTGTTAAATTTCTTAATGGGCCGATTATATGGTCAATTTCAACCGGGGCTGAGTTTCAACATAGGCTGAAATTGCTCCATGTAATCACACAATATTTCCGGGATGAAATTGCTCCATGTACTCGGCCCCTTAAAAACGTATTGTTTTGGTGAGTGAAGAAACACAGAAATTTGCACTATCGAATTTTACTGATGGAACTTTTTCACTTTAATCAAAAACGATTTCTTAATATGTTGTTTACGTGTAATCATAACATGCGCGTGCCTGTGGCTGGTTTTTTTAAAACATAGATAGCATTAGCAACTATGTTAAGATACATCCTGGTATTTTTTTGCATTTTGAAGTTCTCGTTGTCTATTGTTTTTATTTTAGATGAAAACTGTACATTGGATATTCTTCGTTGCACAGGAAATATTACAATACCACAGACAAATTATTCCTGTGTTCTGTCTAATAAAGGTTATTTTTTAAATCAATGGAAAAAAATGAATAACGCTGCACCTCAAGTGAATGTTTACAACCTTCATTTGTTTCATTGTATCATCAGAAAAACTATTGAATAGGATTGAGTAAAATATGAATTATTTTGCCACCAGGTCAGTGTTTTCACCTTAGTTAAAGGTTGAGGTGATCAACACGGACGATATGCTACGAAGGAAAATTATACATGATTGCTTAATTTATTGTATACGTTCGACATGTTCAAAAGATAAATGTATGAACAAGCAAATCTGAATCATTTTACCTGATTGAATTAACTCAAATTAGGCATACCAGTGACAGCAACAGCATGATTTCATTGATTTGCACAATCTTATTTGTCTTTATCCTTATTATTGTCAAACTCCTCGCTGAATTCAATTTTTTGAATTCCTAGATTTTACTGGATGCAAAGACTTGGAAATGAGACACACATATACATCTCAAGTACAAATATGCGATAATGCCAAAATGTAAATAACTTAAAATTAATCGATCAAATAGAAGTTTGCTTCAGAAGAAAGAAAAGACACTTTTATTAAGAAAAGACAAATTAATTAAGGAAAAGATTTTTATATTATAATAACAATTTCTAATAAACCAAGACAAAAAATGTGCCGGAAAAGTCGTTTTGAAAAAGACTACATGAGACTTTATAAGAACGTTAATAAAGAAAGAGTGTTAATGAAGGTTATCTTTCATGTGTCTTGACAAAAAAAAAAACAAATAATTCACTCATGCATGTAACAATTAAAAAAAATCATTTTTAAAGCTTTGTATAAGTGTACAAACTAACAATGCTGCTTACTATAAGTAAAAAACGTAAATTTTGCTCTCTTTTCAGTGATGAATCCGAAAAGAAAATCCAACGTATCTGTGGAGATGTATTTCGACAAAAAGAAAAATGTCTTGTTACTGTGAAGGCTTTGTAAGTATTTCTAAGGCTATGTTTGAATATAACAGTTTTATATACTTTTATAATGTTTAATACCATTCTAAAAGACAAATTAATATTTGTCTTTTAGAATGTTAAATGTTGGCAAATGTTAAATGTTGGCAAATTTGTGTTGAATAAAGCTTGTATTGTTCATATTTAAACTAGAAGGCGATATTTTTTATTCATTATTTTAGAGATTTGTCAAACAATAACCTTTCATTACAAAACTGTGAGATGTTTAATGGGCTAATCGAACTGGAAAATCTGTAAGTGCCTTTGAAGTACATAATCCGATAGTGCACTTATACATGGTAATGTAATTTCTTTTTTTACATTGAAATTTATTCTTTGCTTTCCATATAATTTTTCTAGCAACTTAGCTGGAAACGGTATAAAAGAAATTGCAGCAGACTGTTTTAAAAGTTTGACCAATTTGAAACACCTGTAAGCATTCACTATTTTGTATTCTTATAGCTTTCTTTTTGTATCTTAATTGTTCAATTTTGGCAATCTATTGTTGAACTTGTCGATCCCATTGTGGTATTGGTCCAGTGGCGCACCTAGGGGCGTCGACTTGAAATATAGATTGTTTTCATAGGAATCTGCTTCTTTTTATCAGTTGTTAAATGTTGGTAAATTTGTGTTGAATAAAGCTTTTATTGTTCACATTTAAACTAGAAG